CCCCAAAACCCCAAAACCCCAAAACCCCAAAACCCCAAAACCCCAAAACCCCAGATAAATATGGGAAGATTGAATTATTTCACCCAGGTTGTCTTCTTGTGATTGTTGTATTGTCCAGGCCCTAGGCTGGTCTTCTTGGAATCTGCAAATCTCTTGCTCCGTCCAAAAGAGAGGTTGTCATTAAGAGGAGCTTTCAGTTGTCTCACTTGGTCAGGATAATACCCAGGGCCAAGCGCTGGAGAAGTACTTAAGTGAGTGGGATTCGCATCTTTGAAGCGAGGAGAACATGAGTTAAATGGCATTATTAGCTTTTCATTCTGGAGCACTGTAAAGTTGTTCGGAGCACCTCCTGACAGTTTATTAATCTCGCTAGATATTGACTTGTAATCTTGCAGGTTTGTCATCTCTTGTCTTCCGACTTTATGTAAGTTGAAGACACTTCTTTTGGTCCCTGATTTGAACATGTGGTTGCTTACACCTTTCCTCTTGTTCTTATTTTACTGTCGTGTAACTTCCAGGGCCTGGATTTTCTGAGATTATATCAGAAAATCTCTTCTCTGTGAGACCAAATGTGGAGTTCTTGCTCCAAACATTTCCATTAATCTTGTTCATATCTGTTGGAGACTTGTAATCTCCTGGAGCAGGGTTTTGGTTTCCAGCAAAAAGTAGATCCTGATGTCTTCCAGAAGCGAAGGATGCAGAATGGCCTTTGTGATTCTGGTTCGGACTCACTTTAGCTATATTTAAGTGTTCATTGTTATAGCATCCTGGCCCTCTGAAGTCAATATTGATATCATTCTTTGGTTTATCTCTATTGTAGAAAGGAACCCTATCTTCTGTTGATCCGAAGTATTGCAGATGCTGAGGCTTAGTCTCTACATTAAAAGTGGATGTCTTCTCTGGCCCCATGTAATCTCCAGGACCTGGTGAAATTTCAGGCACACGGACAATATTAGACTTAGACTGCTCAAGAGCTTTAGCGCTGGGCCTGCTCTTCATCAACTTTCCCCCCATGAAAGTTTTAATCTTAGGGTCCATGTAAGAAAGTCTTTCAACATTGGATTTAAAAATGGAGCTTTGGTTCTGGAAGTTCTGTGCTGTACCTTTCATAGGATCTACCATCCCTGAAAGTCCAATATTATTGCTAGTATTTTCATACTTTCCTGGGCCAATTTCTAAACTATGAGTTAAGGAGTTACCTGGGTCTTTATTATCGTTAAAACCTATTCTTTTAGATTTTGATAATGACCAACCAACAGCTTGGTTAGACTTCTTGATTTTATTGACATTAGGATTATAACTGAAAGGTCCAACTTCTTTGATCTCATCTTCAGCAATCAAGCTAACTTTGGGATTCTTTGCCTTACTTGATTTACTCAGGACTTCATCGTCTTTTTCAGATTCATTTTCAGAGACGAAGAGCATCTTGTTATGTCCAGAAGGGATGGAAGGGGCTGTTTCATAAGACCTCTCACGCTTCTTGTTCTGAGACCCTAGAAATTACAACTGAAGACTTACTGTATTTTGGGATATTTCTCCTGTGCTTTATTTCAAGAGCTTTAGAGTCAATATCCTCACGGTTTTTAACCTCCTTCTTCTGCATGCCTATTTCTGGGATATTGGTGTAATCCCATCGGTTTACCTTATCACTGGCGTAGGGCTGAACTTTCGTAAACCGGATGCCATTCTCAATGACTTGGTAATACCTTGGGTCACCATCTTCAGGAAGAATATTTGATTTCATCAAGTTGGCAGACTCAGTATAGTAGCCAGGCCCAGGGTTAAAATTGTAGTTATCAGGTATTCTTTTAGACTTACTCTTGAAAACAGAGTTACTATTTGCTCTCCTTGTTTTGCTACTTTTTAAGACGATTTATCAATAGTGGTGTATAAACTACTAGGATCTATCTCTGTGCTCTTCTTATCACTATCCTTTTCGTAATGGCCAGGCCCAACGCTGACATCTGGGCCTTTAAGATAAAACGGCTCTCGTTCTTGAAGGCTGGAAAACATCTTTATTTAAAATAAGAATAAAATTTAGGGGTTTTGGGGTTTTGGGGTTTTGGGGTTTTGGGG